GATCGATGTCAGCGACGAGTTCCAGAATGCCAATCTGATCGCCCAGGTGAGGGAGTGCGTCGAACTGGCCGAGATCACCGACAAAAGCATGCAGAAGCTGCCCAAGCCGCCAACCTTCGAAATAGAAGTCATCAAGCAGCAGCTGAAGGATAAGAGCCACTCCGGAGACATTGAGAAGGAGGTGGAGCGCTGTGTGGCGTTCATCAATGCCTACAATAAGAACCTGCAGAACGAAATTAAGTGTCGGAAGGCGGTACTAGCCAGTATTGAAGCGGCGAAAAAGTTTTACGAACATCAGGGAAAGGAAGTCAAAGTGGTCGCCAGCGTAAGTCGTTTCTATTCAGTCATTCAAATTACAAAGCATTTACAAATGGTTTATCTTACAGGCCTATAAGAGCTTTGGTACGCGCATTAAAATAGTTAAACGAAAGCTGGACGAGACCATACCCAACCTGGCCAGTCCCATACCCTCGCCAGACGTGAATGCTCCTTCACCCGAACGCGATGCAGATCTCCAGTTGCCCGAGGAAAATAATTTGCCTCTGGTAATTATATCTAGTAAAATAATAATTGATGTTAGTTAAGTTTATTTACTTTCTTTACAGAACCTATTTGGCGGTAGTATTAATGGCTTCACAAGCTATCTGGATGGTGGCAAGCTGCCATTCGACATCAACGACTTCAAGCGGGACTCGAAAGATCGAGGAAGTGCCATTGAGGTGATTGGTTCGCGGTCGGATGACGAAGCATACGTGCCGAATGCCAATTTCTACAAGCCGGAGCCTATTTCCAGTTCCGATACCAGCTCCATACCAGGTCTTGGAGGATCAGCGGAATATACTCCAAATCCGCCCCTGTTCAGTTCTGGCAGCCAAGACCAATATGTCCCGCCTCCACCATCGCATCGCTACGGTGATAACGGAAACGGAGGAAGCAGTGGGGGTCAAAACGACCAGTACACGCCTGCGCCCATGCCACCGCCACCCTTGCCACCGTCGCTTGGCCCCTCTAGTGGATCGGCAGATGATTTCAACAACACGTGGAATATGAGTATGTCGTGGACGCCGCTCGACTCTAGCCTAAACAGTAGTGGGGCAAGCTCTTCTTCGTATGCAAATCAATCAACTCCCCATTCGCCGCCGCACTTTGACAGGAAGGCCAGCTCCACGGCAGCTCCGATCGAATATAACGAGCTTCTACATACGAATCCTGTAGCGCTGGGCGCCGAGGACGTAGACCATCGCACTTTGCAGCTTCCCCCGGCGTTCGATTTTGGCGCCAAGTTGGGTCTGAGCAAGGACAAGACCAGACAGTTGGTGGACATTGACCACAGGAATTTAATATCACTCACTGGTTCACCTGGCGGAGCAGAAAAGGTAACTTTTAAAGTAATCTTTTTTGCTTTTAATTTGCTCAACATACTTGTTGGATACAGCATTTATAATAGTTTTAGTTTAATATATTATAATACCTGGCAGTCTTCCTTTCAGGACTTTACTGGCGGCGATGTGGACTACCGCATTGTCCCGAATCCCAACGATGAAGGTATCATGGCCCCTCCTGGCAACAACTATGCAAAAAGCAAAACCTGCTCGCCGCTTAAATCCAATGCTAGTACGTGCGAGTAAAATAATTATATTTTACAAAATAAAACAAGTTCATTCCCTTAAAACAGGCTCTTCATCTGAATCGGACCGTGTAGATGGTGCTACGCGTTATGATCCTGCTGATATGGTTATTGATATGGATATGTCGGATGACGATATTGATGAGTCACTAAGAGGTAAGTTGAAAAAAAAATCCCTAGGGTAATGTTTATAACATATAAACAATTGGATGTTTTAGAGTCCAAGGAGGATAATGGAGAAGCCGATACCGACGCCAATGGTGCATTGACGCCATCGCGTCCAGTTTTGCTGGAAACTCCGCCTGAGTTTATTAATCCCTGGGAGGCAAACAGTTTTATGGGGGCCCCTTTGCCCGATGAAGAGGATCAGCAGCAACACCATGAACAGCAGCAAAATCAACAGCAAGAGCATCACCAACATCAGCAGCATCAACAGCAGCAGCCCTGGAACCAAATGAATCCCATCCAAATGGGAGGAGGTGGAGCACCCCCACCCCCACGACCTCCATATGGACAACCTTTCCCGCCCTTTCAGCGCTTTCCCGGTCCACCTATGAATGGTCCTGATGGAATGCAGCGTGGGCGTGGAAGAGGTCGGGGATGGAATGCACCCGGACCAGGTCCTTTCAGACCGCCTTACCAACGGATGCCCGGACCGGGATTTGATGGTCCCGGACCAGGGCCGCGACCATTTTTTCCTAGGGGTGGCGGACCTGGCGGTCCAATGCGTGGCCGCGGGCGCATGCGTGGTAAAGCTTGGATGATGTAATTACGTATTTTATAGATCTACAAACAGAGAGACCCTAGTTTTAGATTTCACCTATCTCACTTTGATTTAATTTAAAAAAAAAAGTGTATTGTATAGAACAGATAACTCATTAACCCCACACATTTCTCTTGGTTTCCCTTTGGGCGGTGGGCAGATGACGTTGGCAGAAAATATTGTACATTGCTGTGTATAATATTACCTTACCAACCTATGGTTGTTATTGAAAGCCAATGGTTTTCAATGTATAAAGAAGTATATTCTTGAGATAATATGTAACATGAATTCTAAACAAAAAACCAACGGCAATCTAAGCGAAAGTTAAATAAAATTATTCACGAACTTCGTTGAGCCATTTTATTGTGTAAAATATTATTAAAAGCTTATTGTTTCCAATCAGCCAACGTCAGCAGCCTTCATCCAGGGGAACCTAGGACAACACGTGCAAAGACTTTACACTTACACTTTTGTCTTACTTATGTTTGTGTGTTTACATAGATTAAGTATATAGTGTACAATTAGTTAATGCCTTCGCTTATTCATAGTGCTAAACATAGACACTAGTAATTGTAAATAGTTATAACGAAAATTAGTCCAAAAATTAATTGTTAACGTAATTCAAAAAGTTCTATGCTCTTCACTAATTGTCAATGATATTTATCTTTAAAAATATATATCGTCTTGAATTTATAATTTAACTATTTGCAATGAAAATCCAAATATAATGTTAATAAAAAACACTTTTCAGCACTTTCGTCAGATCGTTGTAATGGCATTTATAGAGCGATGTTTTCCCATCCTCGATATTTTAAAAATGTTTATGTATTCATTGAATAAATATTGTTGGATTAGCACCGATCCAGATTCCACCAACATAAATTTTAACAATTACGTTGAAATGGGATATATTACTTCTATTGGTGGCAGCCACGTTCATCGAGTGTTGACACTAAAAGCAGGCCGACCGTTACAATGATCTGACTTATGTAAATAAAAAGAAGTTAGTTAGGGTATTAATTATTCTCGACAAATAACTTTAAAAATTTCTCGAAAAACATTCTGGCCCACCAATTAAGGTTTATTCGAATTTATTAACTACTTAGTTAGTTTACTATGTACCATTTTACTTATTTTGTTGTGCATTCTATTCCAGACTTAGTGGAGAGCAATTTCTCAGATTTCTATGGACTCAAGCAATATACGATAGTTATAGTAAGCTAAGTTAACATTCTGTATTTAGTTCTATAAATACAAACATCAATGTGATATCTGAAACTGTATACATATTGTACAATGCGTATTTTGTGTTACTGGATACTCGTCATCATCCGTTTCGGATCGTTGGTCCACCCACAGTTCCCATAGCACTTACAAATGACTATGTTTAAATCAATTTTCGTCTAACCTTCGAAGGATCTAAGGCAGCGACTGTGTTTATCCTCAGTGTTTACCTGTTGATGTTTGCGGCATTTAATCACTTCTGTTTTGGAGTTGCCTCACTTTGAGTCGGAAGCGGAACTCATTAATTCTCAGTTGGTTACTGATGTTGTGACCTTTCGTTTTGGTTCGTGGGTGTGGCGCACTCCCTAGTTTGCCATGCCGCTCTCATCTCGGAGGATAACAAGGATACCCTCTTTCGGGTTGAGATGAAAGCGTGGCGAATATAAACAAATGTTAAGGAAGATTGGTTTATAAATGGAGTTTTTACATTTGTAAATTTATACCCGTTACTCGTAGAGTAGAAGGGTATACTAGATTCGTTGAAAAGTATGTAACAGGCAGAAGGAAACGTTTCCGACCATATAAATTATGAACGCCTCGATCTCAGGAACCACAAAAGCTAGAATGAGATTAAGCATGCAGCTTCCAGAGACATAGACGCAGCGCAAGTTTATTTCCAAATACTGCTACGCCCACTCTAACGCCCACAAAACTGCAACGGCCACATTGTATATATTGTAAATGTTGTAATATTTTTCTAATTTTTTATTAGTCTTATAAATTTCTATCGATTGGCCAAAAAACTCAACTTATCCTAATAGGATTTTGAAGTGACATACCCTTAAATATTTCTGGCAAAAATATCTAAAAATCTGAAGTCAAATTTATAAATCTATTTATCTATATGATGTAGATTTTCCAAAAAATTAAGCAATGTCCCAAGGCTAAAGTTCTAAACTCCATAACTCAACTTATCTTTGAAGTGGCATTTCTCTAAATTTTTCTGGCTCAATTCTCTAAAAATCTGCATTTAAATTTAGAAATTCATTGTTATGTAATTTTTTTTATCTAATGATGTAGAAATACAAAGAAATTATAAAATGTCCCAAGGCTGAAGTTCTAAACTCCGTAACTCAACTTATCTTAATCGGATACCAAGTGTCATACCTCTAAATGTTTCTGGCGCAATACTCTAAACAAATTTGCATTCAAATTTAGGAAATTTTTTTAATTTAATTTTTTTTAATTATACATTTAAGGTATTCGGGGAACTGGACTATAGCACTCTATCTTGTTTTAATACGTACTTTGTATGGTTGATATCATTCTAAACAGTTTTGTTCATTTCAGTACCTACACAATCTAGTACCTATAATCTTCCTATATTTTTTAAATAGTTAATGATATGCACACCAATTTTGTTCTTCTTATACTATTTAAAAATATGTTCTCTAAGTTCTGTATATGTACCAGCGCAAAATTCCTATTCAAAGATAGAATTCAAACCAAGTTCGAACTTATTCCCAGGACATTATTTTCATTCCATTATTCCATTATACATATATTCTTTTGATTTTTATTAGAAAATTATTGCTTTGAATTATTTACAACTATGATAATAAACGTAAAACTAACAGCCTTTATAAGTTTTCCACTAGGATGAAGGTGTTGCTGCAACACAGCCCGCAAAGGAACTTCCATTTGGGGAAGGATAAGGGACCGCCCAAACTGGCTAGTAGTCTCTGGACAACAACGTGACCAGATCCCCGATGTAAGCCTGCGCCATTTGGAGAGTTTCGTATTTGGACAGTCGCCGGTCGTGGCCCAGAGACGGAACCACGTCCCTCAACTTGTCGAAGGCATCGTTCAGGCTGTTCATCCGCCTGCGTTCCCGAGCATTGGCCGCCAGTCGCCGCTTTTTAAGGACTTCGCCTCCGAAACCCGCGGACGAACTGCTCGAAGAGGCGGAGGATGCAGATGATGACATGGAAGTGGACAGCTTGTCGTACGGCTTGCTCCTCTGCTGCTTGCTCCAGTATCTTGGACTTCTGCCTTGACTCTTGCCCAAGGGATTCGCTTGATGCTGCTGCTGTTGCTCCTGGGCACTCAGCATATGCTCCAATTCCAGGACAGATGGCGTATCGTAATACATCTCCAAGGAGCAACTGTTCGCTCCGTCCGACTGGCTGTCGCTGGTGCTGAACTCCTGCTGGTACATGAGCTGCTCCAACTGCTGGAAGGTATCGTTGCCCAGGAACTCGGGAATCGCCGGTGTTTCGTCGGGGAAGTAGAACTGCTCCATTAGCTCGTTGTTGGTCAACATGTTTACGTTTGCAGGCTCAAAGGACAACTGAAGTGGCTGGTTGAAGAAGGGCCTTTATATAGCTGCCAGCTGAGGATCCAGCTCTCACGTGATTGGTTCACTCATATATCCTGTTACCTGATTCGCTGCCTCAAGCTGATCCGATCCGCTCAGGTAGCCGAGTGCCAACCTCTTGAGGATCAGCAAGACAGCCCGTGCCCTAAATTGGCTTGCGGTCAAGACGTTTAATTGTCTCTGGCTTGCACTCTCTCCCTCTTTCTCTCAGGTATTTACTGTATCAGCTACAGGTCGACTCCCTTTGTTTGACCTGTCATTTGGCTACCGTCTGTAATCATACCTCTTTTGTTACTTGCCCTGGAATTGACTTTTATATTCAAACAAATTCACCCAAGGTCAAAAATGCGAACGCATAAAAAAGACACCGGTCATATGGGAACATTTTCCACAATGCAAGCCTCCATCGCAGATCCCCCGGATCATCTTGGTTGCATGTCTGTGGTCTAGTGAGTGGAGTGCTCGACTGCTTGGGGTTTCCATCTCTCGGCCAGAACAAAGAGCCACAATTGTGTCTGTGCGGTTTGCAACTTTCGATTTTAGACGGTTGTACTTACTTTATTGGGTCAAATTTAAGTGGGTGTATTGATTGTGGCTTTCTCCGAAAATTTAGCCACGTTTTACATGGCGAATTACAGGAAGTTGAAAAGTCCAAAATTTCATAAAATAATTTACATTTATTGAAAGAATGTTTTCCCCTCAAGTGTTCTTTTCAGAAAAAGCTATCAAATTTGTTTTTTGGCCAGCAATGGAAGTCATACAAAATATGTTAAGTAGCTGTACGTACTAATTATTTAGCTTTCTTACAAAATATTAAACATTTTTTATTTTCATACTAAGACATTTGAAATGAAATGAACAGCGTAACTTTTCCTTTACTCCTTCCTTTGAAGTGCGGAAACTCTTTAACAAATCGACGTGTCCTTCTAAGCTCTGCCGCAATCTGTTGCATCCTCACACCATACTTCCAACCGAATGTTCTGGTTTCCTCGCCGTAGTCATTTTGGAATCCTGCCCTGCACAAGCCCACTTTCAAGTGACCGCATCGAAAGGCTAATTAACTCCACAGACTCGCTGCAATAGGAGGAAAATCAATTCGAGGAGTTCGCTGAATTTCTAAAGAAAACGGGCAAAACAATTGGAAAACACTGGCCGAGAAGCGCCGAGCATGGCTAAAGAGTACAAATGATGCCACTGCAAGATGGCCCAGATACTTCACCCAAATTGTCAAGGAACAAAGTCCCGAGCCGACAAAGGATCGTGACGTTTGATCTTGACGGTGATGATGATCGCTGATGGATCGATCGAGCGATCCACTTTGTTAAGAGTGCCACGCGACCGCAGCTTAGTTGAAATCCTGGCCCGGATTAGGCATTATGCTGCAATATTTTCGGGAGAAAGGTTCGCGGATAACCTAAAGATCTGCAACGCCTTCGAAAAGAGGTTCTGGAATTTCCAATTAGCATTTTCCTGCGCTACCTGGTACATGGGACTTGGAGAGGGCTTCTTTTTCCCTCGATCCTGTCAAAATAGCAACAATAGGTAGTCGGTTGGTGGGCGGTTCTGGTTGAAAGTGGGAACCTCTCTCCACACTCCACACCCAATTCTTTTCTTCTGGGCAACAATAGGTCACCTGATGATAATCTAGGATAGCTCAGGCAGTTGCGTGTTTCTGGGTTTTCCTGCCAGATTAATCGTTTTCGTTGTGCGGATTAGTTGTTGGCGCTAAATTGCGAAAATGAGATTAGAAGTCAGAGTCCCGGAGTCACAAGGAATTCCATGGGAATCTCTTCTCGCCCGACACTTGTTGATTCCACTCTTTGTATTGCAATGCCTTACAATGGCGCATTCTTTTCTCGTTTCGGTCCCATTGTTGGTCAGAAGTGGATCAGACCTAACTCCATTGTCCGGAGCATAATTACCATGTAATAATCTGGAATTATGAATTATTATATACAAAGATTTGTTTGTTTCCTAGTAAATTTGTTGTGGTCACAGATGTGCAAAAATTTCCAGACAGCATGTCTACCAAGGACCTAAAGTGAGTGTTTCCAACGTGAAAGCGGAGTATTGGAATATCGGCTTTAAATAATTGCATACTTTAAATGTTCGTAATAATGAACTAGGATGATCATTAATAAATTGTAATACAGGACCAATTTAAACTATTTTCTGGACAAAGATGCCGCTGTTTTCAAGAAGGGCTACTAAAATTACAGTTAATTTATATATATTTAAATGTTTTGCTTAGATCCCAGTTCCACAAAACCCATGCCATAACTTACGGCACACTTCAAGGTTTAAAAAGGATATATGTATAGCCCTTACTATCAACAAAATGTCTGTTGGGCTGCCAAGGATAGCGCCCCGAAAAGTGTCAGGCAATTGCGTGCGTTTATTGGAATTTATTGACACTTGAGAGGTGATCGGGATAAAAAAACAGTTACAGAAACGGAGAGTGATCCTCGGAAGGACATGGGCAGGTAAGCAGGGCCAATCCGGAGCGCGACGGCGACCTTCAATGATGGGTATCATAAATTGTCATCACATAAATAGTGGGACAAGGACCAACCGTATCCCGGGTGACATTTATGACTCTATTGACCGTCTGCCGTTGCTCCTGATTTTCTCGATGCTCCTGCTGGGCAATCAGTGTCGCCTTACACGTGACCCGCTCCCCTATCTTAATAAGCAGTTAATGGTAGCGGTAAGCGATTCACAAACAAAGCTAGGGCCAGATAAGAGGTGCCTAATTAAAAAGGGGGAAGTGTTAATGGATGCTTCGATTAGGAAACAATGAATATGATATCGATACATAGGGTGGCGAAAAATCCATTTCCCCATGTGCTAGCGAAATATCTAGTATATAAAAGGGCTATACTACAACCAGTAAAAAACGATATAGTTTACATAAATACATATCGCTAAGTCTTTATTTAAAATATTGGAAAGAACCGATTACAATGAATGCTGTGATCAATTATTAAATTATTTGCTAAGTCACAGTTCCATAAGGTATACACACACAAAACATTTGTCTAAGACAATCGATCAATGTCCGTCCGAACTGTGACGGTCCTCCAAAAATGGATTAGAAACTAAGTGCAATATGAAATCATCAATTTTACAACCACAATCGAACGCGGTTATCTAATACTTGTTGCCTTGTGGTTTGTGAATTTAATCGTGAATTATTAGTAGATATTCATAGTGAATCACAAAGAGGTTAATATCGGTGTGAGTTCCGTTGGGTATGAGTTTTGAATGTGATATTATTTATCAGTTGCAGGATGGTCCACTTGGGTTTGATTAAAATTGTTGCAATAGTACTCTGATATGATTACAAATTTTGATTCGGAATTGTGGGTCTGTGCGAATAAATATTAAATTAGCTACAACATGAAATGAATACACTAAAGCCATACTACTTTAATAGGGTGGGGCGAAGAAGTCGGTAAGAAATTATAAATAAAAGACACAAAAGTTATGTCTAAAAAGATAAAATTACTCTACTTTATTTTTAAGTAAATGAAATCAAATAATCGAGCAATATGTAAATGTCAAATTTTTGTACATTTCAACCTAATCGCCTCACCCTAATGAATAATATTACTCGATAAAGCTGCGAGCACACAAAAACGCACACAATGTTGAAAATACGCCCTCACAATTGGTTTAATCCGGTTGCATTTCGAATTATATCACTCATGGAAATGCGAATATCTCCAATTCGAAGCCTAGAGCGTTGTGGAGGTCACCGTGCTGACACCATGGACGAGAATAGTGGGCGGCAACTCGGCGGTCAGTTCGGTTAGCAATTCCATATAGCTAGCGCTGCGTTGCGCGAAATCCGGCGTTGAGAGCTTTGGAGGAGCAGCCAGATAGATGAACGATAATGCCGTCTGATCGGAGCGTTCGCGTATGATTTGATTGGCACGCTGCATGTAGAGAAGAGAGCGATTCAGGGTCTCCTCACCCACCTCGTCATCATCCTCCAGCAAAACATTGTCCGCCTGAGCGGTGAATTGTTTGAGGGTGCGGGCATGTCGCGTGAAGTCGGTGTCCCGGCTCCACTCCTGGATCTCCACAATGTCGGCTGTGATGCGCAGCTCCTTAAGAGACTGCTCCAGCTTCATTTTCGAGAAAATCTCCATTTGCGGGGTCTGGGTATCAAAAGTGCTATGTAAAATAGACAATCAATTATTAAATGTTCAGAAACTGATGTCTCCATTTTACTAACCCCACTGTCCTCTCCTCACTGGCCTCGCACAGGAAAATTCTCACTCTTAGATGCTTCCATTTGGCCAGCATTATCACCGCCAATTGCATCATGAACAAAGACACCATATCAAAGGGATCGCCAGATGTTGGATTGAATATATTAATGGGCCACACATCAATGTACTTCACATGCTTGCTTCTGCATTCAATAATGTATGCTAAAACGGGGGTTCAACAATTAAAAATAAATTTCCTACTCACATGGAAATAAAGTTTTTGTCCAATCTTTGGAAATTTCTGCACAAGCACAGATTCTTTTTCATCCGAAGGGTATCGCACAGGATTTGAACGTATTCCTGAATTTGGAATTGCTTGGGATCGCCATCTCGTCGAATGGGAAAGTTTTGAATTTCGCCGTTGTTAAAGTCCTCGGTTTTATAGGGGGAGGAACCGCTGAAATATGTTTATAGATAAGTTTTGTGATATTTGCAGATAAAAAAGTTATACTCACTTTTGAAAGAAATCCCTGGGAGCCTCGCTGTCGTAGAAACCCAAAATAATTGTGTTTGGCTTCATGGCTCCGATTCCCGATAAACGAATCAGGTGCTGGACTCCCTCGCGGATGGTCCGACTCAAAGTGACTTCTGTAAAGGCCTTGACTCTCATGTGATCTAGGAACGACCACCACTGCTGGTTGTCCTCGGCATCTTCGATGCCCTTGAAGTCACCCAATTTCACATGACCAATAATGTACAAACCGCTCTTTTTTAGATCATTTACAAAGTCCACCAAAGGACAGCAGGATCGTGGTGATGACACAAGTAGCAGGATCTGTGGACGCCAGAACTTAACGTGATCCTTGCGGGGATCCAGCATTAACAGATACTTCCGCACCTGGTGGAACATCAAGGCCTGGGAGATCGAACCCCATTGGGCTGCCTGAGTGGCAGGCGAGAACAAATGTAAAGCAATCACCAGGATGAGGCACAATATAATGCACGAAGAGGCGTAGATGAAGTTTATCACAAACATCATGATCAAAGTACCCAGTAGTCCAACCAGACAGGTGTGCCAGGTGAAGAACTTAAATAGCGGTCTAAAGTTTGGAGCTCCCGTGAGTTCAATGCCCAAACAAGCCAGGTTGGTGGCTAAGTAGGAGAGCATGAAGAGCACCGAATTAATCTGGGCAATGATGTTGAAGGATCCAATCAGCAGAATGCACTCTACGAGACACCAGCTCACCGCAACCGCTGCAATGGGATTTCCCTTCCAAGTTCCATGAATCACAAAGTTCAAAAGACTGCCAAACACTTGATCCTTGGATAATGCTTCTAAAATCCTGCTGGATCCAATCAGATTGCTCAGACTTGTTGAAAATGTGGCGGTCAAAATGCCGATTGCCGTAAATGGAGGCCACAGATTAACAGGCATCAGGAACAGGTAATTGTTCTGCATTGTAAAATACGGAGTCGTGCAGCTCATGAGGAAGGACAGGATGATGTAGGAGACGAAGGTAAACGCCACCGCCGAGAGAGTGCCATAGGGAATACTCTTCGACGGGTTCTTCAGTTCTCCGGACATATTCGCCCCGGCCATTATTCCAGTTACTCCGGAGAACAGCACACCAAAGGTAGTGGAGAAGTCTACTTGTTTGCCATTCGACGTGTAATCGCGACCATAGTGGGATCCAAGATTCTCCCGCAGCGTAGTGGCATTCAGTCCTGTATAGTCGAGAAAAGTAGTGGTATTTGATAAAATGTTGTCCCCAGGCACGGGTATCTGAAATACAAAAAAAAAATTAAGTATAGTGTTGATATCGCTAGAAAGGTTGTATACATGCTTAGTTTTCATAACATGCAGCCCGGCACGCTCTTTCATGACTCAAACCTTCTTATCAGTTTATTAAGCTTATTGTCTGCCTAATGCCAAAAAAATGTTCTTGAATAAATTTAGTTTTTTAAAATAATGACTTTTAGGACAAACCTTGAGATAAAGATTATATCGTGGATAAATCTTATTTTTAATAACTGATCTCTTGCTGGTCACATGCAAAATGATTTCCAAATAAACTTCAAGAGACATTTAATTTGTGTTAAATGCCCTCTTTACTGACTCGTTCTGAATATGAATTACATGGAATTATCAGAAAAAAAAGGATTTGTCAGTCAGCTTTATAAATGCCCCGCATAAATGGTAACACTTCTGACCAAGTATTTATCACCCTTTGTGAGCTTTGACCAAATATGTCTAATAAGCCTGATTTGATCCCTAGTATCACAATAAATTGATAAGCGCTACAGGGCTTTTCCTCAATGAGCAATAGCTACACAGAAAAAAAAAGAATTTCATTAGACACCATAGAAAATGTTATTAAAAGTCTGTTTAAAAATTCAAATAAGGGCTATGGAAATTAAATACTCCACGTATACTTCTCTAATTTATAACCATCCAATTATTTTGTGTATATATAAAGTTAATGATTTTTAACTGCATTTAAATAGTGCAACAAAATCTTATCGAGACATGGAAACAGCAGTGTACTAAAAGATATCTTACCGTGTTATTGGTGGCGCCCACAAATAGGAAACTAAAGTACGTGGCGAAGAGGCAAACGGTCACGGTGCCCAAAATAAGCACTGACGTCTTGGCGAACAAAGCCGCGCCCACCAGGCAAACCAGCAGTTGCAGGGTATTTATCATGCTGCTGGTAAGGAAGCGCCACCAATCTCCATCCGGCAAGTGGGAGTCCCCGCTCACAAAATGGCCACGCGGTCCGAAGTTATCCATGATACCCTCAGTGCAACCGGATATGGCCATTGCAGACCCCACCACATTGGCAAAGAAGAATAGGGTTCCGATCGAGCCACCAAACTCCAGTCCCAGCGTTCGACTTATCATGACTGCAAAAAAATATAATAAAATCAATAAAATATATAATAAAATAAATTAATTTTAAATATCTGACTAATGATAGCCAGATATTTATATCATTCAAAAGTCTTTGGATTAAAAACATGCAGTCACTGCATTATTATTGTTTACAAGTCATTGACTACAAAGTCACAGCTTTCAATAAATGTATGTACATTACTTGTGTACAATTTCTGATACCAATTAGTTGGGAACTCACAATAAACTCCCCCTCCTTCAATGGCTCCATTTGTGGAAATGGCGCAGACCGAAGCCACCGTGAAGAGCAATATTCCGTAGGCGATGAGGAACTGCAGCAGGGTTACATACAGGCCCGCATTTCCGACGATGTAGCCTGAACAAAGAGAGTTAAATAGTGGAAAAGACCGAGATCAACGGACCATCACAACAAGTGTTTTGTGACGTCATCGCCGCACTTACCGACTCGAATGAAAACCAAAGCACTAAACATGGACAAAGCCACCGGACTGAAGACTCCGGCAAAGGTGCCAAGCGTACGCCCACTGCGCTCCGGGTCCTGCATTCCGAACTCCACATATCCATCGCCATCCTGCGGAGTGTGGGGCCGATCTCCACTGTTCTGGCCGCCGCCGAATAAGGATCCGAAACTGCGGAAAACACTGCCCGTACGACTGTTTCGGGAATTAGCTATGGGAGCCGTCTCCTGCTCCGCGGAGGCGCTCATCTCGATGTCCGTGGTGCGGGTGCGAGAAATCCGGAAACACTAAAGACGTCCAAGCGAACGCCTACAATTTCCAGCTGTCGCTGGCCAATAAGATTAATCACAACCACGGGCGGGGGACAGAAACTTTTTACCGGGATCATTCATGCAAATTGTATTCATAAGTTTGCTAATAACTCCTTCATTGCCTTTCCTATTAAAAACTTATAATAGGTAATCACTTCGGGTTATTAGTTAAGTTACTTAGCTTATAAGATATTAAATGTTTCCATATTGTAGGTATTTTTGGATCTTCAAGCCCCCAAAACCCCATCTACGACCATGTTCTTAAAGTCACTCAAATAATGTGGCAGCCCTCTAAGAAATACTAAAGAATAGAGCTTAATAAATACTGAACTATACCAAAAAACGTGCAGTATTATCGCATATATACGATATTCAAATATCTTTTAGATCCTTACACAAAAATCTATGAACCAAATTACACATTTACAGTTATCAAACATTCGATCAGTTTTGCAACTTCAAAATGCATTAAAAAAAAAATATATAGTCAAATATATATTCGTAACAACCATTTTTATGTGTTAATTTAATAAAATAATAGTCTTATCAGGAAAGCAATCACTGTACGGCAAGTTTTAATAGATTGAAAACAATTAAAGAGGTGAAAATTGTTGAATGGTTCAATAAAAACTGATAAAGCAAACATAATATATGAATTAATAAGGTATATACACAAGTATCAATATATAATGTATGTCCAGATAATAATAATTAATAAGACTGCTAAATAAGAATCATTTAATGAATGACCAAGCACATTGATTGTCTCTAAATATAGTACTTAATTGGTCGGCCTTCTTAGAAATTGATAATAAAATATAGCTCTTCAAAACAGATAAGTTTTGGGATTTCTACGGGCAGTTCTTCTATAAAAGTGAGTGCCCAATTGGAGAATTTTTCATTAACCAGATATAATGAAGGCCTTGCAAATCGCTCTCGTATTTTCGGCTATTGTGGCCATCGCCTTCGCTGCAAACGCCAGTTGGGGATCAAAACTGTCGAGTAGTAAGTTGGTCAGCACTCAGAACGTGACCATCTACAAGAAGGCAAACCAATATGTGAGCAGTATCATCAGTTTCCCATTGACGGTGAGTATAATTTTGCCTTTTATCAAGAAATATATCAAATCTTTTTTAATCAATTTAAACAGGGCCAGAGCAACACAAAAACCATTCGGCTTATAACCATAACTGATAGGTTTACCAACAGTTCGGGACCGTTTTCCACCTTGTGGTCAGGTGGGCCAGGATTCATTAGTGCCAAGGTCAATGTCACGAGCCAGCTTTCTCAGGGATTCAACGTGACTGCTCAATTTTGGGTCGATGCTTAAGCTGTCCTGATAACAAAAAATTGTAAAATTTCCATTTTTGTAATGCAATAAAAATATAATTCCGAATTGGTAATAAACATTTTTAAGGCCTTAACCGATTAGCTAAAAAATAGAAATGTCGCAATCATATTCAAAGAAGTGGGGAACCGCACTTTTTAATTATCTCTTTTTATTAACAATTTATGGTGTAAATAAATGAAGTCTATAGGTTATAGGTGACACTATTCAAATTTATAAATATAGATATACGTAGATATACGAAAATGGCTGGAAAAAATTGATTACTGCTGTTATGATTGAAATGATTTTTAAATTTAAGAAACAACAAAATATATTTTAATAGACGTTTGGAGCCATCGAAAACATTACATACATAATGGAAAAAATTAATTTATACATTTCGTGGCTGTTCAAATTATTTTAAGAAGCCAAGTGCAACTATCGATAAGTGTTGTATTACCGATAGTGGTTTCTTATGGGATTTTCGAACTGGTCCTATTATCAGCTGTTTGTTTCCGCAAACCGAAAACGTTTACAAGTCTTTAATTAATTTGGAAAGAAACGATGGTTAACGATAAAAAGCGTCGCTCGCGATCCCGGGAGCGTCACAGGGAGGATCGGCCGGCCGTGGGCAATCCCCGGGATCGCGAGCGGGAGAGAGATCGTGTGAGGGAGCGGGACAGGCAGTACGAAAGAGAGAAGGAAAGACGCCAGCGTCGGTCGCGTTCCCGGTGGGTTTTACTTTCAATCATGGTGAAATAAGTGCAGTAAAGTACTAAACTCTTTTGTTTCAGAGAGGATCGCAACAGGCGAAGATCACCCGAACGCCAAAGGCCTCGCGATAATGTCCGAGAGCGATCAAAGGAAAGAGTGGGTGGAGGTGGAGTGGAAAAAAAGGCCAAAATGGATTCTGGCGATGCTCCACCAAAACCCTTAATTGTTGACGACGAGGAGCAACAAGACGGCAAGGAGGCAAAGCTGAAGAAAGAACCCCTCTCGCTGGAGGAGCTGCTGGACAAAAAGAAACGCGAGGAGGAAGCCAGAAGCAAGCCAGTTTTCCTCACCAAGGAGCAAAGAGCCCTGGAGGCCATCAAGCGACGCCAGGAGGAAGTGGAGCGCCAGCGAGCTGCTCATGATGCTGCCCGTGAGCAAATGGCGGCCGCCAGCAAGGTCAGTATCTCTATGGGCACGGCCATGGCATCGGGAGCTCCGCCGCCGGCGATCATGGCACCGCCACCCAAGCCGGATCGGCGGGAACGAGGAGGTGGTCGAGATCGAGGCGACAGGAACGATAGAGGCGAACGAGGCGATGACAAGAGAGCAGAAGACCTCACCCACAAAGACAAGGAAAAGGAATTAGAAGCCATCCGAGAACGCTACCTGGGCATAATCAAGAAAAAGCGTCGTGTTCGCCGGCTCAACGACCGCAAATTCGTTTTCGATTGGGATGCTGGAGAAGATACCTCCATTGACTACAACAATCTCTACAAAGAACGTCATCACGTCCAATTTTTTGGCAGAGGAAATGTGGCCGGCATCGATATTAAGGAACAAAAGCGTACCCAGAGCAAATTCTACGGAGATCTCCTGGAAAAAAGGCGAACAGAGGCAGAGAAGGAACAGGAGAAAGTGCGACTAAAGAAGATGAAGCGCAAGGAGGACAAGCAGAAGTGGGACGATCGACACTGGTCCGAAAAGGATAATGATGAAATGACTGAGCGCGATTGGCGTATCTTCAGGGAGGACTACAATGTTACAATTAAGGGCGGGAGAATTCCTAATCCCATCCGAAGTTGGAGTGAGTCCGGGTTCCCTAAGGAGATCATCGACATTATCGACAAAGTGGGCTACAAGGAACCCACACCCATTCAGAGGCAAGCTATACCCATTGGCTTGCAGAACAGGGATATTATTGGCGTGGCTGAGACCGGTTCCGGTAAAACATTGGCCTTCCTCATACCCCTGCTCTCTTGGATTCAGTCCCTGCCCAAGATCGAGCGTCTGGAGGATGTGGACCAGGGTCCCTATGCTATTATCATGGCTCCCACGCGTGAATTGGCGCAACAAATTGAGGAGGAAACAACCAAATTTGGACAACCTTTGGGCATACGAACTGTGGTCGTCGTGGGTGGTTTGTCAAGAGAGGAGCAGGGCTTCCGCCTGCGATTGGGATGCGAGATTGTCATTGCTACGCCAGGTCGTCTCATTGATGTGCTGGAAAATCGGTATTTGGTGCTGAACCAATGTACGTACATTGTCCTCGATGAAGCCGATCGTATGATAGACATGGGCTTCGAGCCAGATGTTCAAAAGATCTTGGAGTACATGCCCGTCACCAACCTAAAGCCTGATACCGAGGAGGCTGAGGATGAAACGAAGCTGATGGAGAACTTCTACACTAAAAAGAAGTACCGCCAAACCGTGATGTTTACGGCAACGATGCCTCCGGCTGTGGAAAGACTAGCTCGCACGTATCTTCGGCGACCGGCAACAGTTTACATTGGATCTGTTGGAAAGCCGACAGAGAGAACAGAGCAAATAGTATACATGATGGGCGAGAACGACAAGCGCAAGAAGCTCATGGAGATTCTTTCGAGGAAAATCGATCCACCAGTTATTATCTTCGTTAATCAAAAGAAGGGCGCCGATGTTCTGGCGAAGGGACTGGAGAAACTGGGCTACAACTCGTGCACATTGCACGGTGGCAAGGGTCAGGAACAGAGAGAGTATGCTTTGGCTGCTTTGAAATCGGGCGCAAAGGACATACTGGTGGCCACCGACGTTGCTGGTCGTGGTATCGACATCAAGGATGTGTCCTTGGTTATTAACTATGACATGGCCAAAACCATCGAGGATTACACACATCGTATCGGTCGTACGGGTCGTGCTGGCAAAACCGGTTGTGCCATTTCGTTTGTCACCAAGGACGATAGTGCTCTGTTCTACGATCTTAAGCAATGTGTGTCTGCAAGTCCTGTTTCGACCTGTCCGCCGGAACTCATGAATCACCCGGAAGCGCAGCACAAACCGGGCACGGTGGTTACCAAAAAGCGCAGGGAGGAAAAAATATTCGCCTAAACTGGCACTTATTAAGCAGAACTTCTTTAGGTTAAAAATAAAAGTTAATAAAGTTGGGTATGCCAAACATCATGCCTTGGCAACCAAAATTTCATTTTGGAAAAAGTCGTTTGAATCTATGAAAACAAGTAACATTAGATTATACAAATTTATTGGAATTGGTCTCATCTTTGTAATCTCAAAAAGAAGGCATTTCTGCTCTGCTTCGAGTCCAGAGGCAGATATTTGTCATAAAAGTCTAATATGATTTCCTCCATCTTAAATCCGAACTTCTGGTACAACATGACGGCTGCGTTGGTGGCGGAGACATGCAACGTTATGTCCTTGGACATACATGTCTGGATAAGATGATATAACATGAAGCTGGCAATGCCACTGCGTTGCCAGCACGGGCGCACCGCCATGAATGAGATGTACGCCTCGTTGTAACCTACATCGGGCACAAGGAATCCGCAACCGATGACTAGTTTCTTGTACAACGCCACTACACTGTAGTCCGGGTAGCTGAGACACTCACTCACTAAAAGGAAAATGGTCATTAATATTTGTACTAAATGTACGAAAAGCTAAAAAGTAAATGATGAAACCCACCATCAATATTTGGCCAAAAAGTACTTTGGAGTAAGGCGTTTACCGCTGGAATATGCTGCGGTCTTACAAAACAAAAGTCGATGGTAGATCTTGTGGGATGAGATCCGTTTACGCGATGCTGCAGCTCACACATAAGCTTCAACCAGGGAGGAGCCATCGTTTCGCTCCGAAAGATGAATGGATGAAGAACTCTCTGAGAGTAGGGCGATTCAAAGAGCTCGTACTGAGTGCATCCCGCCAGGCGGGCGTGAAAGGAGCTCCTTGCATCCTGTCGTGAATGGGCTAACAATTGATATCTGTCGAGTATTTCGGCCTTCTGATGACCCAGCATCTTTAAGCGTGCTCTCCCCAGGGGATCTATGTGCTCGTCCAAGTTGAATATGTGGCGATTGTGGTCTCTTTTCCACTTCCGAAGGGAAAGTTTTCGGTATAGACGCCGTACATAGGCAGGTATGTTTATTTGGCATTGATGCTCCACAGAAATTATTCTATCTAGTCGTTGATACAACTTCTGTTCTTCGTACACACTCATTAGCTGGAGATTTTCCCCAGGAATGGCCTGGTCATCCGATTCCTGCGCCTCCTGCAACCAAGGCCAATTTCTCCGTGGTTGTCTTACAAATCCACTCGGTTTGCAAGGCTCTAAGGAAAAAGAATTGCTATGCGCCGAAACATCTTCATCTTGCATTATCTCTTCCAGTGGTTCCTCTTTGATTCTATGGCTTGCCTCTTGCGCCTGGTAATTTGTAACCTGAACAATGCGTGGCTGATAGTCGGGTGATTCTCCCTCCTCTGCCTTTTCATCCTCCACCTCGCCCTCTTTTTGTTCCTCGCTACTTTCGGCCGCAGTTTCTTCAATTGATTTGGATTTGGTCTCTACAGTGGCATTTGGTATGGCAAAATTTGTATCCATATCGAAAAGACCGCCACTGTTCAAAGGTGCCTGGAGCAATGGTTCAGTCATGAAGAAATCATTTTTACCCGCTCCAATCAGAGGTGGGGGCATGAAGCCTGGTAGGCTACCAAACATGGTAAAATCATCGCTTTCCAAACTTTCAGCCAGAAAATCCATCAGGCCTGCTTGAACCATGCTTAAAGGCTGATGCTGTGGTTCTTCCTCCTCTTGACTTGCTGTGGCTATATTTTCTTGAGGGACTGGTGGGGCTGGAAGCGGTTCTTTTGGCAAAGGCGAAGGTAGTGCTACTACCTTTGGCTCACGTCCCATGTAGGGACTGGAATAAAAAAAAACGAAAATTTTAATAAGTACACACAATTTTAAACAAATTTATATAATATCTCACATGGTGCGGGCACAGCCGTCCGTTGAATTGGTTTTCTCAGCTTCCACTTTAATAAGCGATGGGTTATCCTGGGTGTTATCCGTCACTGAGATCTCGCTGCTACCGCTGGTCTCGTCCGCTGCGGGCAATCGCTTTTCAATACGCATTTGTAGGCGCAGCTGTTGCTTTTTCTCATCTGAAATGTGGCGACTTGTAAGATCTATTATTATATTAGCTTTCGTGATACTTACATTCTCTGAGAACGCTTCTTGGGGTTAGAAAGGGTTTGGCCAGTTTCCACCAGCCGTGCTCCTGAAAGACATCCAGACCGGACTGAAAGTATTCCGGACTGTTGTGGGACAGAGCACCGGATACGGACCCAGTCCATTGCTTGCGACGCCGCCTGAACGAGAGGAATACATTTGAGGTGTTTTCCGGAAATTACACATTTACTAAAACCTACACATTGGGACCGAATATGTAATTCCAGTTCTTGTCCACAAAGCTGATGATGTGCGTGCGCCAATGGAAGAATCCATGGTGACCCAAGCCCTTTTGTTTGATGGACAGATTGTAGAGCGTTAGGGTGAGCACCAAAAGCCAAGGTATCCTTTGCCGCAGGATCACTTCCTTTATGGGTTCTAGCGCCGTGGCCACGGCCGATCCCTGGACTTTATCCAGCACACACTTGACGCACGTGAACGCAAAGAAAACGTCGCCCAAAAGATCTCCGGGCGTGCTCGCGTGCGGCAGGCATTTGATGTGCACCATTCGGCGGCATTCCTGGCACTCCAGGTAGTTGTCGTCCTCCACCGGCAATTCGCAGTAGCGGCATGGTCCTTGGGGATCATCCCAATTACTGGGACGATTCATTGAGTTGGTAAAACAGCACGAATTCTAAGCTTAAAACAGTCAACAAAACAATGTGTTGCTTATGTGTTACCGTTTCTTAGTTTTAGATTTATACCAAATGTAAGGAATGTTTTATATTAAGAAATACCAAAAAAAATCCTACTGTGCACGGGTTACATTTGTATGCGTGTGTAGAGATAATTTAAATAAGGAAAGGAAAAATAAATTAATTTGTATTCTTATAAACTAGTAAATTATTTAACTCCTAATTATTCGGTGCGTTGCACTCGTACAATACTTAAGACGTTAACATTAACAGACGCATATATGTATGCTATGTTTTTCTTACCATCATTTTAAATCATTTTGCTTATTTGTTAATATTTCAGTGCTGCTCAATCTTAACTATCTAGCTTTTTTGTTCCCGAAATCACGGATTTTATACATGGCTTAATTGACTCGTCAAGTGATCCTTTTCAAGAATACATATACTTTATAGGTTCTGACACGTTTCCTTCTACTTCTTACACTATTTTAGCAAGCCTAGCACACCCTGTTTCTCCACAAGTAGTGGGTATAAAAATGTTTACAGATGCTCCTTGTGTTTATGTCTAGAAGCATGTCATAGAAGAATCCGCTGATTAGTGCAGTCCAGAATTGTCGGTTGATCAAACATGCGGTTGCCACGCCCTCCGCCCTCCGCCCACCAAGCACCACCCACCCCTCACCAGCCAGCGTCCTTTGGTCATGCAACGAAAATGACATTAATGGGCTCTTTACGGCTTACGCATAATTAAGGCTGTTTCCGGCAGACTCGGCCGGGCCATGGACCTGGACCCATCGCTTTTGGCCCGGTCAGTGTGTTGTCTTAAGCGGGCCTAATTAGGCATAGCCGGCTGTTGCGTTCTGGCGGAGCTGTTGCTTTTGTTGCTGTTGTGTGTTTGATGAAGTGCATGATTGGTTTACGGGCTCGGGTTCAAGTGGAATGGTCGGAACTGCAGCCCGGATAAGTGGGATATTCAGTTGCGCACCAAAGCCGAACGGATCCACAAAAATTGATCAAATGTTTCGTTTTTGAAAATCACTTTCTGTTCGTCAAACGAAGAATGCCCTAATTATTGCAGCGGAGCATGCGGCTTATATCTATTCGGAATATTTACGATTTTTCTCCAACACCCATCGTTTTTATTTAAGTTTTTTCGTCCTTCAATTTCTGTAGAGCTCAACGAGCTGAAGTTCTTCAACCTGCTTGTCTGCCGCCCCCGAGCAGATTTTCATTTTATTCGCGACTGCCCGCTGGCAATGGTGAAATAAATGAATTTGTTGGTGCTACAGCAAAAAGTATATAGGCACATCCCTGAATTATATTTTAAAGCATTGTTATATCTTAGCACTGCGAGACTGGGAAAGATTTTCACTCATACATTCCTTAAAGCTCGAGGGTAAATATTTTCTGGAAGTTGGATAGCCTTACTTGCTGATTATGACATTTACAGATGTGAAGCTGGTTAGGATTTGTTTGGCTACCCATTTTGTCCATAACAACTGTGTTTGCTCTCAATCAGTAGGTTTATTGCACCTTTGGACCACGGCTATTTGTTCACCGTTTTCCGAACGATTTAAGGCCAGGTCCTGGCACAAAGGGAAAGTAAGGAAAAACAGTGGGCATCCCCATCGAGAGGGGCAAACACAAACGCCGTCTGGCTGTCACTTAATCGAAGCCATTAGCGTTATTAGTGGGGCCGCTACCAGCCGATGCACTGAAACAAAATTAGGTGTACGATGCTCGAAATGAAATAGCTTTAAATTGCATAATGCCAAATATTGTTATTTTCCTTGCAGTCCGTTATGAATGTGTGTGCACTGGATCTTGTTTAGAAGGTACAAAATATAATTTAATAATGAAATGTAAGTCTTAGAGGAATTTTTTATTTATTGTGAATCTTGTAAAATACATATATTTTTAGAACAAATGTTTTATTGATTTTCTTGATTTACAAATGATTTATGGTATATATACCCCTATTACTCCCACGCCTGACTGGCGGCCAGGTAGAGGGCAAAGAGTGTCTGGACATTGTGGATGTAGTCCGCCTGCGACTCCAAAGGTCCATCCACGCCGAATCTCTCGCAGAGCACTCCCACGTAGTCAGCTAGAGAAATGCTCTGCTGTAGGCAGGATCTGTAGGTCTGATCTAGGGCGTTTTTGGTTTCCTCATCGCCAAAAGATCTAGGCCAATCCTCCAAGAGGGCATCTATGTCCTTTCTGGGCTGTGCATCGTACATAGATTGAGTCATATGCACTTGTTCAACCTCGGTGATCCACTTATCTATGTCCTTGGCCGATCGGGCGGTGGGAATTAGGGAGGCGGAGGAGGCATGACGGGGATTTCGCCCCATGCTTCCACTCAGTACCGACCGAAGTTTCATATTCAGGAGACTGGGCTCACTTTGAGCGCCAGAGGGTTCATCGAGCAACCATAGACCCAATTTCTCCAGATGATCATTCAGCTCCTTCTGGCGTTGGGGCTGCAAAAGTGGAGGAGCCTGGACTTTCAGAAGAGCATCCACATCGCCCACAGCGGGCACAAACTCGGGGATAAATGGTTGCAGGTGGAAGGGAGTATCGATCGTTTGCGGGGTGTATTTGACGATATAGGGAAACAGTTCCTTGAGTTCTCCGGGCACGGGCAGATCTTCCCATTTATCGGGACTCATGATAAAGGATGGCTCATCCTGCCGCTCAGACCTTCTTGCTCCACCAGCACTGCCCCTCATGGGGAGCGTTAGCTTGTGATGTGGTAACTTGGCTCCGCCTCGTGCTCCTCCGGATCCCATTCCAGCACCCATTGCTGCTTCCTCGCTGCCGGAACTCATGGTGTCATCCGGTACTGGCTTGGAGCTCCGGTTGCTTCCCGGTCGCTTCTGCATGCTCGGCCCGGGCACCAGGCCCGTCATTCCCACGCTCATGGTCATTCCCTGGGGCAGGTGCATCTCGCTGTCATCGTCATCCTCGCTGTCCTCCGCCTCGTCATCGTGGTCAATGATGTCCTGCAGCAGACCATCGTCATCTGTAGAGTTGCTTTGGAACTGCTGAATGGGAAAGTGATGAAAGGTGCCTTAGTTATGTGAGCTTTAATCAAATAAGGGGGGATTTGGAAAGTTAAGTGTTATATTTTTTATATAATGTATCAAAAAATTATATTTACTGTAGAATTTTTGTACCTATTTCATTTGCAATTTAATGCTTTATTTATTTTCACTCACCATTCGACGGTGCCTGCCAGCGGCTGCTCTTTGTACACCTCCAGTGGCGCCTCCTTCCACGCCCACGCCCACTGCACCTGCTCCACCCCCGACTGCCCCACCTCTGCCGCCGCCTGGTCCTCCATTTCGGGACTCCATTTGAACACTGCTCAGATGCTTGGAGTCGGGTCCGCCGATTGTGATCTCCTCGTCGTAGAAGTTCATGGCCAAGACCAGCTGCGAGCACCCGGATTCAGATTCAGATTCAAATAGCTCTCCAGCTGCGAGTCCTCTCGAGCTATTCAGTTTCCTTTCACCGTTTTCCTGCCCACTTCCTGGCTTTCCGCGAAATTCGCACAACACTTGCTTGCAATTTTCCGCTCCTTTTGCAGGTGCTGGGTCCTCGTCCTTGTTTCCTATCTCCAGAACAGAGTTTTCTTCTTTTTCAGCGTTTTCCGCTTTGTTTTTGCTGCTTCTACTTACTTACCTGCTGAAAACTTGTCAATTGCTTTGGCCAATGCCGGTGTCGATGTCGATGTGGTCGTCCTGACAACGCAACCCAGTACGCTGCACTGCAAGAAATATTGTGTTGAGTTTGAGCAGTAAAAAAAGTATATATTAGTGATATGTTGATACACTGCTTTTTTGAAATAATAAGTTTTACAAATATTTACAATATAGGGAAAACACCCTTATGAGACAATACAAGTACAGTTGTTGTACACACCTTTTCTCCCTGTGCATCAAGTGGTTGTTATTGTCATATCCTTTTTGGCCTGCGTAAACATTTACAGCTGAAACAGTGGCCCTTTGTTATGGGCCAGGGTTTTAATTACATTCAATTTTTGAACCGATTTACCACCGGCGATCGTCCTCAGTCCGTTTAAAGAAAACTTTATGGCGCCGATTTATTAATGAACGTGCGAAATTCAGGACACTCTTCAAAGTGCCCATTAAAGGCCTTACAAAAGGCCCATTAAAGGTTTACATTTACACAAGGCGCCGTCTTTCGGAGCATATTTTAAAATTACAATACTTAAGGTTTCGAAAGGCGATAACGAGGTTCTAAATAACATATGTGGGTTTTTTTTAGATAAGTATGGTAATATCTAACAACTCTTTTTCCTTACCACATATCCCTTTCCTTGGATCATACGATACGAATATGTTTTTGACCGAACATTACCGATGTGAAATGAATTAATGGAAACAGGGAATACAAATATAAAGAACTATTATATTTTCATTCATTTTAAAACTCTAAAGCTAAACATCGCGTGCTTGATTATAATAAGAGATTATTTTTGCAGCAAAATGTAGTGAACTTAATGAAATATGAAGTTCTTTATATATTATATAGGAAATTTAAGTCCCCATCGAAAGAAGGTACCCATTTCTAATTGAATATAACTCCGGAAACCAAATTCCCAGAGTCGTTGTTAAATAAATAACATATATGTATATAACTATATCCTTTACGCATCATTGTATATTAATTTCGTCAAGACACAAGAGAGGATGTAGATTATCTTTTATTTTTCCTGGGTCTTGATATGTATCGTTTTAGATGTTCTATATTTTGGTCGAAACATATATGCCTCTGCTTTCTACGATTAATGAGTACAACACTCTGTTAACGTGCTGTTAGCCGAAGCTAACAGAGGCCGGAGCGTGAGCGTGAGCGGGAGCGGGAGCGGCAGCGGGAGCTCTCCCACTTTGCGTTCGAACGGCCACACTGTCAACTTGTTTTGCCTGCCTTGCATCGGCATTCGGCGTTGGAATCTTGTGCCGTGCGGACGTAACGTTTCTGCGACTTTTCCGTCTTTGAGCGCGCTTATGTTGGTGCCGTTTTATCACGCTATCTTTATAACAGCGATAACAGCAGCATTCACCACTAATTAAATGCTGAAGTGTCTGTGTGTCAATTGAATCGGTACGACTTTTGACTGAATTAAATTGCGAATTACAAAACACAATAGCAATCGGTAATTAACGGTTATAAAGCCGGACCAGTGCGGTAATAAAAACAATTTGATCGGGTGCCAAAAGATATTTTTGCACACACTCCTTTTTTGGGATAATTAAAAGGACAGTGTTTCGTCCCGTGTGTGTCCTTCCGGTGGACTGAGTCTGTGTGTGTGTGCAGTGGTTGCGGAGGAATTTCTCATTAAACCGGCGCTAAAAGGATTACGAACCCGTTCTTCTTCATCAGACCCGCGGACCGAGTAACGGTAAGTTGCCGGGGATTCCCCCACATACATTTATATTATCACACAGAAGAATATAAAAAAGGCTAAATGATTAAAAACGAAGCAAGAAGTGCGAGGGAAACGTAAGGACTGAAAGTGTAACCTTACCTTACTAAGTAAATTATTTTGTGCAAAATAGATATAGGAACTGTACCCATCTAAGTGAATTTTTTTTTCACTGTGTACATCTTTAATTCCTCATCCGTTTTATGCGTTGGCTTTTCACACGACCCTCGCAAGAATCGAAAAGGGTTGACCATGTTTTGGCCGGGGTCAATATGCTTCTGTTGGGGGTAAACCGTTCTAGGGGAATACCAATCCCACCCCGCCTTCACCGCCCACATACCGCCCCTTCCCCCCTCCTCCCCTTAACCACCCCCTCCCCTGGCGATCCAAACAATGAAAGCCCCCGAAAAAGTGCCGGCAATAAAACGAAATTGTTTTGAATTATTGAGATCTGGCAGAAAGAGCGGCCTGTAACCGGATGGTACCTTCCAGGTTTGGGCTTTTTTTCATTTTGTTTGAATATAATTTATATTTGGTGCATTTATAGCCAGGACCTCGGGACCCGGAAAAGGACTGAACACTCTTATAGGTGTCTGGGGGCATTAACGGTTAACATGTTTGCGGTTTTTGATTGCTGCCAAGTCCTTTTATCAGCCCATAAAACGAGGGTCTCCCAACGCCTGCCCCCCATTTTTGGGGCCATATGTTGGGCGTGAGGAAGTTGAAAGGGGTTGGATTTTGGGGTGGGTGTTGTGGTTTCCGCAAATTGGCGAAGGCTTCATAGAGTTCAGTGGAGTAACGACCAGTTTATCAATTTTGCGCGCAGCTTTTGTCACCGCCCGATAAGAGTTGTATGCAAACTGCAAATCGCGTCGCTGCATTGCCAACAACAATAATTACCCCTGTGGATAAATATATTGATATTAGTTATATTTTTTATCAAAGAAACTATGCTATCTTTTTTTTGCACACAAGTAACACAAATGCCTCATTTTATTTTCTGCAGAAGAGATTGTTAAGATACTTACCATAAAACCATTAATTAAGTCATCCCAACCGGCAAGAGAAATACACTTCACATACAAACTTGGGTTTAATCAACCGAAAATCCATCAACTATTAATATCGAAGGGCATCATTTTAGCTTTCCTTTTCCTCCACACTCAATTGTAACCTTTAGCCGATATTGAGATTCATTTGCGAGGAGAATCTAATTTCTTGGCCAAGTCAGAGGCTATTAGCCATCCACATGCAGCATTCGACAGCTCTGCGTGGCTAATTAATTTCCATTCAGTAAATGGAAATACGTACACCATAGAAGACCACAAATTAATTTCCGACAACTACAGGGAGTGAGAAAATGACAGACAGAATGTAGCTGTTAGATCTACAAGGAGAATTTACTGTGGACAGTCCGTTTCATTTCTATATATGCACTAGTTAGTTATCTCTAAAGATTAGTCTAATATATAATTTACCTCAGAAAATGATAGAAAATTAAAATTAATTAAGTTAGTTTGTAAATACAAATTACATAAGTGTTTCAGCCCTCATTTATTTGAAACGCACTGTCCAGAATAACCATTTATTTGCGGCCAATATAAATTCCTTGAGTTTTCTCTGCCATTTTTATTTGTATTTGCGGCTGCTGCTATTGCTGTTTATTGTAATTTTTTATGGTCCATGGTCTATGGTTCTTCTTGGCCTCATAACTAGCGACTGGCGACTTCGACCTATATAAGCGATTCTATTGTGCCCAACGTGCTTTGGACATTTCCCAGCCAAGGCCTGAAAGCAGACACCAGCGAGCATTTCCACTTTCGCTTTTCATTGTGTGTGGAAATGGAAAATAAAGGAAAGGCAACGAAAATGTTTGCTTATCTGCTTGCCTACACATTTTTATGTGTGTTGTGCTTTGTTTTCTGGGCTCTGTTGATGGGTGTCGAGGCTTAAGGACTCTTCTTTTGGATTTTTTTGATAGTCATCAGCATGCAGAGCCACATGGCTGCTGCTGCTCCTCCTGCTTCTCCCACTCCCATTCCCAGTCCACCCACTCCTCCTCTAATCTTCTTCAAGTTCAGCGAAAGCGAAAACGTGGTTGGAGGGTCACCATAAACATGAAAATCGTCCTACGGTTGAAAGTTTGTCGTTTACCCACAGAGGCAACGAATTATGCCAGATTGGTTTTTATTTAAATTAGTTTTAGATTCCTTTGGGCTCCCATGCTCGCTGAAGTGTTAAAACAGAAGATACAGAAATTGATTTTCGGGCTGAGATTGAGAACTTGCGGCGGCTTCGGCTTCGGCTCCGGCTCCGGGTTCCCTTGCCTTTATGGCTAACTCAGCTGTCCCCAGCCGCCAAACGAGTTCCACAGAAGTTCAGTTCCATACTCGAATAAATAAACAAAATGGTTGGTGTTTGGGGGCTGAGGAATCCGATTTCAGTGTCGCCTATCAATGACAAATTGCACATGATTTTTACTGTCTAGCAAGCAAATGTTTTCATACACTGACTGCTGTCGGAAACTCATTGGCTGTTTTGTTATTCTTTATATTTGGCTTTTTATTGTGTCTCCAAGTATCAAAGCACCCCTTTTCAAGGGAGACGAATAATAATGACAGTTTATTAAATGCCAATTCAGATCCACATCAGATAGTCCATGGAAAGTTTGGCAAACAGAAAATAACACACAACTCTTGATTGCCGGCAAACTTCTTTCGTTAACCTTTTCGGCTGACCCGGGTCTCTATTTCTCATCAGCATAATCCCGAGGGGATCACAAGGGGAAAACACACACACAACTTTCCCAAGCCAATTCAAAATGAAAATAAAAAAAACACCTCCGCACCCAACCACTCAAAGATAGCTTTGGTAAACATCTCTGGCTGGAGAAACATCTCCCTCCCAGCCAGTCGTTGTATCATTTATCACAGCTTGCACACCAAAAATATCATTTACATGGCAATGGCTATGAAAACGCAAAGTGAAATGAATTATGTTGGAGGTGATGAAGTTATCAAGGCGCCATCAACGCCACAGAGGCAGAAACCCTTCAAGTTGTCAATGAGATTGATTATTTAAGAGGCGGAAAAGCGCCAACCATTTCCTCAGGTGGCAATTAATGATTAATGCATCTGGCAAATCATTGCAGTGATCCAGTGCTTATGGATCATGCATTTGAAAAACTGCTAAAATTTTGCAATAATTAAGCAAAATTATAAAAACCAATAGTGGAAGTATTCATACTTATATATAGATATTATGTTTGCACAACAGAAAAACACTTTACTTATATCGATCTAAACGCACCATCGACAAATTACATCTTGTGGTCGATATACCAATTTTGTGTAAACTCCTTCTAAAACCGCGAGTTGGATTGCGAAAAACTAGATCAAGTTCGTCAAACTAAAACAATATCGAAAACTCTTGAATTCCACATGTTTATGGCAAGCAATTTTAGGCCATTTAGGTCTAGTTTGGAACTTGCTAATAGCCAATTTCTAAGAAGAGCTTTTGTATTGTCTGTAACTTTGATTGTTATATCTTCACCGTCGTTCTGCTCCATTATATCTCTTTCGCCTTGTCATTCTCTGGCATTTCAATAAACAGTTTTAACGCTTTTTGTTCTTTTTCTTTGCCACCGCATGATTGTTATTATGCTGACCCATTTTGCTCGGTATATACTTTGTGTGATTTTCAATTACCAAATTACTGACCCCAAAAGCGATTACTAAATATGCTCAAACAGTACTTCATAACTACCAGCGAGTCTAATAGTAACCACAAGTCGATTGCTTTATCAGCGAAAAATGGAGCAACATGGAGCACAGTTAGAACCGAAGAATATATTGACTTGGAAATGTAATTCAATTCCTATGCGTATCAAAATAAAGGAGGGGGGATTGGGGGCTTTTGTTTGCCTCAGATACCTTATCTTAGAACCTAAAATAGCCCCTGCCCCCTTTGAATGCCAATACCCTTGGACCGTCGAATTTGATTCCGAGCAATACAAAGAAATCGTTGTCGATTAGTTTCGATTCCCTCATATTTATTTTTCCACCAAGTTATGAGCTCATCAATGGATTGGTCAGGTTGGAGCTAACGATTGAAACTTGGATGCATTAATAGGACTTATCAACCATATCTACACAGGAGAAATTCAAGAGTTAACTAATAAATTTGCTCACCTGAATGAATATTTTGATTTTTTGTAGATTTATACATGGATTTTGTGTGTCTACCTGCAGCTCTGTTGGTTTCAGTGTAGTATATTTCTATATATCTTTCCCCCAAACCTTTATTTTATTTTGCAATTTGTTGAGGCAGTCAGTTGTTGTTGACTCTTCGCTGAGTCAGTTCCTCAATGTTCTGTTCTTTCCGCTGTCTTTGTTGCTGTTCGACTTTTATCATTTTGATGTCATCGAGCGGGTTCTTGTGCTCATAAAAAATCGTCTTACGGTGTTTTGCTTCTTATGAAACCTTTTTCTTCTCCACTTTTAATTTTCCATTCTTGTTTGTTTGGCTCGAGTTAGTTGAGGCGTCAGCTGGTCGCACCATAATTTTAATTAAAAATCGCTTAAAATTCTTGGGAAACTGTATGATAAAAAGAATGGGGAGATTAGGATGCATAGATAAATTAGGCAAGGGGGTTGAGTTGGAAGGTGACTGGGTGTCAACACGTGCCAAATTGTTTGTGTGTGAGTTGTATCTGGGAAAAGTTTTGAAAACTTTGTGAAGAACAAATTGAAAGAGTCGAAAGTTGCAGCGAGCCAAAGTATCTGCAAGATATAAAAAATGGAAGATAAAGTTGAAACTTCAAGTGGCGCATGCAGTTCGGCTTTTATCTTGTTGTCTTGCTTGACACTCTGCCGAATTAACATAAGCATACGGATAAAAATGGTATAATTGCCCAAGGTGGACCTTCCAACTCCATTTCCTGCCGTTTCTTTAGTTCGGTGGTGGGTTGTGGGGTG